AAGTTTTTGTTTTTGAAAAAAATATGATGCAGGTTTTATGGATTGGCTTGTTATGTGGTCTAGCTTGCCAAACTTCTGGCTTATCGTCAATGGCAGAGCTAGAAATTTTAATAAGGGGGTTCAAAATCTGAGAAGTAATCACACGAACTAGTGGAAGGGAGTTCGACATCTATTATACATACCTATCGCTACTGATATTATTGACTAGATCATGGAAAAAATTAGAGGGCTCTCAACAATAGCAATAGAGAAAGTGAACTTTCAGCTTAATCTGTTCTTTAGCCACTTGGGTAGTTTTTGTATAGCTTTGATATTGTTTAATCACTTATTTGGTACGTCGTGTATATGAGAGAAAATAATACATGTATTAGCTTTGATATTGTTTAACCACTTATTTGGTGGTATCATTTGGATCACAACACTAATTAGTACTATCTCATTTTGCCTGATGACATCAAAATCTTGAATTTCCTTAAAAGCATATTAGTTGTTTCTAGTATGTGTTTGTTTTTGGAGATAATAATAAGTACTCATTTATAACTATAGACTATGTTTGATCATTCATTACTAAGTTTGTATAGTTGGAAATTATAGAAAAAATTAATCTTTTTTGTTTTGTCTTTGCAATTTTTTTTCAATAATTGAGAGACATTAATGTTACTATTAATTACATTAAATGACTCATTTAACATTACTACTCCCTCCGTTTCACAAAGAATGACCTCCTTTCCTTTTTAGTCAGTTTCAAAAAAATGACCTCTTTCCTTTTTGGTAACACTTACTTTTTGCTTTCCACGTGGCATGTTTAAGACCATAAGATTAAGGGCAATTTTGTACATTTGATAACTTTAATTTAGGACCACAAGATTCAAAAGTCTTCTTTAATTTCTTAAACTTCGTGCCAAGTCAAACCAGACCAATCTTTTTAAAACGGAGGGAGTATATAACGGAGCAGAGCATTGTGTGTTAATAAAATATCTTTTGGGCCTAATGCACCCATACGAGAGCTAATTATGTGAGTCGGCCCATTAGTTAATTTAACCCTACGCCCTAATATTGTCGATATAAACACCATTATAGGTGTTGAAAGACACACTCTAGATCTCCCAGTGAACGGCTAGGGTTAGAGAGTTTCTATGCATATATACCTAGTTGAGGATATTTAGGCTATGAACTAGGGCGACCATTCTCCATGTGAGGATTCCTAGATTGGTAATTGAGTCATGGTTGCCGCAGACAATCCGCTTCTGAAGAGAGAAAATTTGTAAGTCTCCAAACTAATGAATTATTACGCTATGCTTTCTATTTAATGATATTACATAAACTTGGGATGATAGAGATACTGAAGAATGTAGATAAAGTGTATGTACAACTTGACGGCGATTGTGCATCCTCCAACATGTTGTACACACTTTATCGGCATTTATCAATATCTCTATTAAGGTTGGGCACCAGATCGGGTTGTACCAGTACCGTTCCGGTCCAATAGTATTCGGGACGGAATGTGATACATTGAACCGGTACTCCAAACGGGACAATATCGTCATGATTTGGTACCGGTTCATCCATGTTCATTCTGGTTCCGATCCGGTCCGATTCATGAAATTGGATTGGTTTTTTAAATTTTTGTCATTGTTTTATACTTTTATTAGCATTTATTTATTTTTATTTAATTTTTTAAAATTACAAACTTAATTCATCAACTTCAAATAATATAAACCTAAAAACTTTAAAATTTATAAATTTATAAATTTAACAAATTACAATTTAAGTCATTTAAATTACAAGTTATAAGTTATAACTTATAACATATTACTTATAAACTTCAAAAGATTCAAATCTTGAAAACTTATGACATAACTAAAAAGAGAAAATTTGTAAGTCTCCAAACTAATGAATTATTACGCTATGCTTTATATTCAATATCTACATAAACTTGGGATGATAGGGACACTGGAGAATGTAGGATAAAGTGTATGTGCAACTTGACGGCAATTGTGCATCCTCCAACATGTTGTACACACTTTATCTGCATTTTTCGGATCGGGTTGTACCAGTACCATTTCGGTTACTGTTTCGGTCCAGTAGTATTCGGGATGGAATGGAATACATTGAACCGGTACTCGAAACGGGACGACATCATGATTTGGTACCGGTTCATCCTGGTTCCGGTCCGATTCGGTTCGGTCCGTGAAATTAGATTAATTTTTTAAATTTTTGTCATTGTTTTATACTTTTATTAGCATTTTTTTTACTTATTTAATTTTTTAAAATTACAAACTTAATTCATCAACTTCAAATAATACAAAGCTAAAAACTTTAAAATTTTATAAATTTAACAAATTACAAACTTAAGTTATAAACTTCAAAAGATATGAATCTTGAAAACTTATAACATAAACTTAAAATCTTAAAAAAAAAATAACTTTATTAAACTTAACTTATAAGTAAAAAAATTTTAAAAAAAAATTAAAATAAACTTAAGTAAAATTACAAATAAACATTATAAATTTCAAAACTTAAATGCTTTATAAACTATTAAACTTAGAAAAAAAAATCATATTTTCGTAATTCAAAATAACTCAAAAAAAATTACAGTATTATTTTTTGAAATAGTTATATGTGCCGTCCGATTTATCCCATCTTGTTCCATTCCTGTCTGTTCCGGTTCTATACCGGTATATAGTGGGACGGGACGAAACCGAGTTTCCATCCCGATAATTCCAGTCCGATTCATCTTGGTACCGATCAACAACCCGGTCAAATCATCCCGGTCTGATCCGGTGGTCCCATTTCGATCCATGCCCAATCTTAATCTCTATCGTCAAGTTTATATAGTATCATTGATGTAATATTTGATGTAAATGACTACTACAACTAAAACTAAATTATATGATGCATCTGAATTATGTACAACAAACAATCATGTAAATTTTGCTCGATCGAAGTCCCATAGGCCTTTCTAGTCATTCTATTAAGTCATTTAAGTTGAACAACCAGATCCATGTATACGATAAAGAAACCATAACAAATACAAAGAACATGCCTGAACTACACCACCTTCAACTCTTTGGAACTAAGATGACAAATGACGGATTGGAAACTATTATTAGTGGTTGTCCTCACCTTGAATCACTTGATCTGTGACGATGTCTTAATGTCCATCTAGGAGGCGACATAGGAAAGCGATGTTCTCAATAGATCAAATACCTAAGACACTCTCAGGACCACACCCAAGATCTTGGGCTTGGTACTGAAATGCACGATTTTGAATATATTTGATGAGGATTAATGATTAAACCATCTGAAATCAAGAGGATACCATATGGTAATCACTAATCCTCATCAAATGATTCAAAATCATGCATTTTAGTATCAAGCCCTAAATCTTCGGTACGATCCTAAGAGTGTTTTAGATATTTGATCTGTTAAGAACATCGCTTCCTAGATGGACATTAAGACATCGTCACAGATCAAGTGATTCAAGGTGAGGGAATAGCTTTCAATCCTTCATTTGTCATCTTATTTCCAAGGAGTTGAAGGTGGTGCAATTCAGGCTTGTTCTCTGCAATTGCTATGGCTTCTTCATCGTATTCATGGATCTGATTATTCAACTTAAATGACTTTAAAGAACGACCTATAGTCTCAATGGCTTGTTTGGTGATTGGGATGTAGTAAAGGTGCAGTTCCTCCAACAATGGAAACTTTTTCCTAATTTATTCGTATATGTTTAAAATATTTTAAATTATTAATTCTTGTAACTTATAATAATTTTTATTAGTTTCTAGATGTATAAATTATTTTTAAAAAATATTTAAGATGATATATTCAAATACATGATAATAATAAAGAAGTCTATCTCACAAAACTCGTGAGCACTCTTTTATCCATGTCTTGGATTCGAGTCTGGAGAGTACCATTTATTAAGAAGCTTTTACCCTCCAAAAACTCTATATTATCTTATTCATATCAATTGACCCAGACAGTATTGACACCAAAATGGTAGCCATGGCCTAAAGTGTATGTGAATTTCTTTCGAGAATTCAAATTCAAATATAATATCGATCAGAAATTTGAAGACCCAAGCAACATCGAATATAAAAATCGCAAAAACATCAAATTTACTCTGCTCTTCTTTAATTTAGAGACAATAAGGTTTTTGCTATATTTTGATAGCTTTCACTTTTCTTTTTCATACGCGGTCTATTCAACTATATTATTACTATATTTACTAAATTTTGTCATTAATATACAAATGTACATCTAAATTGTTCGTATTTCAACATTCATATTAAAAAATTTCAACTATTTCTTAAAAATTATTTGAGTACATGCTTTGTATGCTATATCAATAAAAAAAATAATCAAAATATCCTCAATAATATGTCAACATGATCATGAAATTTTATGAATCCTAATCAATTGGTTTTGAAGGATACATTTTCCAATAGAGTTCTATTTCTAACTAAACTAAATTTGGACTATCATACCAATTTATTAGGCACCAATAAGATATTTACCTAAATTTTACAAATTTAACTAATAGAATTTCTATCCCGATGTGTAATAAGACATGACTGTTAAAAAGAAAATTTCACGCAAATCCTATAAAGATTCTACACTTAAAATGTAGATGGAAACAAAATTGCATTAACTTAAACTTAATGTTAAATTTGTGTTACTACCACAATTTTCAATTTGTCTTTCATTGATACACATGTGAATAGTTTATAACATTTTGGGGGTGAAGATATGAATTGATAAAATTTTATTCTCTATCTTAATTTATATGATATAGTTCAAATCTCAAGAGTTAAATAAAAATAAATTATTCTAATTTATTCGTATACATTTTAAATATTTTAAATTATTAAAATAAAAAAGTTTACCACTCGTAATACTCCTCCGTCTATGTCTCGGGTTCGAATCCAGAGAATAACGAGTTAGAAGGTTTTGCCTTCAACTACTCTTATATTATCTTTATTCATATCAATGGATCCAACAGTATTGAAACCAAAATGGCTGCCACGGCCGGTGTTTCTTGTTCTTCTTCGTCATCTCTATCTACTCTTAGAAAATCCTTCACTTCCAATTCGCCTATTTTCCCTTCCTTCTATTCTCTGCTTCCGCAAATTCCAAAACCCTTATCCCTCAAAACCGTAAACCCAAACTTCAAACCCTTCTTACCACGCCGATTCTCCTCCGCCGTCTCCGCCACCGCCGATTCCGCCGAAGTTAGACAGTCCCTCAAAACTCGTTTGAAAAATGGAGAAACCCTTTACGGCATTTTCCTCCTCGGTTTCTCTCCAACCCTCGCTGAGATCGCCGGGCTCGCCGGGTACGACTTCGCCGTGGTCGATATGGAACATGGTCACGGAGGTATCTCCGATGCACTCCCTTGTCTTCATGCCTTAGCCGCTACTCAAACTCCAGCTATTCTCCGCATCCCTGAATCCTCCGCTACTTGGGCTAAAAAAGCCCTCGATCTCGGCCCGCAGGGCATTATGTTTCCGATGATTGACGGCCCGAAATCAGCCCGAAAGGCAGTGTCTTACTGTCGTTTCCCGCCTAATGGCATACGTGGATCTGCTCATACTGTTGTTCGGGCTTCGAGCTATGGAATTGATGAAGGGTATTTGAGTAATTACGAGGATGATCTACTGATCATGTGTCAAGTTGAGTGTGTAGACGGAGTGAAGAAGATTGATGAAATTGCAGCAGTGGAAGGGGTTGATTGTATTCAAATGGGACCATTGGATTTGAGTGCGAGTTTAGGGTACTTATGGGATCCTGGGAATAAGAAAGTGAAGGAGATGATGAATACAGCTGAAAAAGGGGCGTTGAAGAAGAAGCCACTTGACGGTGGGGCGTATTTATCTGGATTTGCAATGCCTCATGATAGTCCTGAGAATTTGAAATCTAGAGGGTACCATATGGTTTCAGGAGCAGTAGATATCGTGTTGTTTAGAAATGCAGCTGTGGAGGATGTGAAGAAGTTTAAGATGAGTTTGGCTAAAGGATATGAAGATGATGACAATCAAAAAGATCATAAAGATGGTGAAGAGAAGTACTGGAGTGAGTAAAATTTTTAACTTTGTTAGATTAAGTCGTAGTTTTTGAAGTATTATGTTCTGCTTTTGGTTGATTATGAGTCTTGGGATTAACTTAAGTTTCGAATTTGAGCTACTTATGCAATAGAGCCTTTTTTTTTTGTTCTGAGCAAAACTTTGGTTGATTGTTTTAGTAGTTGAAATTGGTTGATTTGCTTGCTAGTCTAATACTACTTCTGTGTTGAAGAATTTTGGGTATGTTGATTAGTCTCGGTATGATAGGTTGCATCTTTTTGATAGTAATAGAAATACTCATGTATAGTACTTTAGAATAGCTGTTGTGGAGGATATGAAGTTCAATATGAGTATGGACTTATGGTGATGGTCTGAATATGCTAATGATCAAAAGGATCGTAAAGACGGTGAAGAGAAGTACTGGAGTGAATAAACATTTGAACTTTGTTAGATTTCGTGGTAGAGTTTGGAAGATTTATTTTCTGCTTTTTCTTGATTCTGAAAAAGTATTGGAACTAGCTCAAGTTTAGATCCTCTTTTTCCTGGGCAAGACTTTGGTTTTGGTTGTTTTAGCCGAGCTGAATTTGGTTTAGTTCCTAGCTTGCTTATTTCCACTTCTTTTTCGGAGAAGTTCAAAAATTAAATCGGCTGAATAGACTGGAACCCATGCACAAATAGCAACATCCTGAACCTGCTTTACCACTAAACCATGTCTTTGGCTTATGCTGAGGGGATTCAATATTTAAACATATACACATAAATCGAAAAATTGATCCTATATAAATAGTGTAATTTTTTTGTGAAGGGGATTTAGATAAACTCTTGGACTCCATGTAGCTCCACCCCTGATTGGGAGTAGCTCAAGTTTTTCGAATTTGAGCTACTAATGCAAACAGAGCCTTCTCTTTGTCTCATCAAGACTTTGGTTGATTGCTTCTTCTTTTTTTCCCTATTTAGCCGATTTTTTCATGATTGTTTTAGTAGTTGAAATTGGTTTAATTGCTAACTAATAACGTATAAAGGGCTTAATTCAGCTTGATTGGTATCAATTTTATGGTTTATCAAGTGATACTTAGCTAGCTGGTCTAATTTTGCTTCTTTGTTGGAGAAGTTTGGCAATGGCAAAATAGTAGTTATGGAGGATTTGAAGAAGTTTAAAACTGTGTTTGGTTGAGGGATTTGAAGATGACAATGATCACACGTAAACCTAAAATAATTCTGAATCATAGAATCATATGGTAACGGTTTACTAGGTCAATACGGATGGTCCTAAAATATTTTAGGCCAAACGTAGTCGGTTGATTAGTCATATCTTCAAAAATTAATGGACTAACACACGGAAGATTGAGAGAGAATGACGTGAATAATGTAGAAAGTATAGAAATGATTTTCTAGGTCAATACAGATGATTTTATAAAATATTGGGTTAAACATAGTCGGATGGTATGGTTCTATAAACTTTTGGATCAAATATAGCTGGTCGGTTTTACTCTCAAAAGTTTATGGACTAAGATTCACAAAAAAAAAAATGGAAAAAATATCTCAAATTTTTGTTTCGTGTCTCTCCTAAATAACTAAAAAAGTGGTGTTAATCATGTCGAAGCTATCTATATGAATGGTTCTAATAAAATTTGGGCCAAATATAGCTTTGATAATTATGAATTCGCATTTCACATACTCGAAATAAAAAAAGAATATTATGCTAGTCATGACAAAGCTCACACCATTGGGGATGGACCCTCCTGATTTCAGGACAAACGGAGTGCGATAATTTTTTGAAAATACATGTGTTAGTACACACCACCAAAAGTTTCGATTTATGAATTCGCATTTCAAGATCCCAAAATGCTAAAAGCGACATCAATCATGGTGAGCACTTTGATTATGGTGAAAGGTCTAATAAGCATAAAGCCCAGACGATTCAATTTTCATGACAAACGGAGTTCATCGACATTTTATTGAAAAATTCATATGCTAAGACACACTAAAAGCTCTGATATTTATGAATTCACATTTCAGGATCTCAAATTGTAAAATAAAAACGATATCAATCATGGCAAAGTCTGGATCCTTTGAAATGGACCCTTCGAGTTTCAAGACAAACAAAATTTATCAACAATTTTCAAAACATTCATGTATATACTGAAAGATCAAATTATAACCAATTGACATTTCAGAACCTTGAAAAAAACAGACACATACAAACAAAGTAATGTTAATCAGGGTGAAGTCCAGGTCATTTGGGGTCTGACCCTGCATAAGTCCATCGACAATTTTTTTTTAAAAAAAATCATATGCTAAGACACACTGAAAGCTCTAATATTCATAAACTCATGTTTCAAGATCTCAAATCATATCATATATATATATATATATATATATATATATATAAAGGAGGATCATAGAGGAGGTGATGTGGCACCTCTCTATGACCTCCATTTCTATTTATCTATTTTCTCTTCTTTTTTTTTTGGACTTTTTATGTTTGTTTTTTTTTTTTAATCTTATTTCTAAATGCATTAATCAATTAATGAAGAAACAAAACTGAAAATTTCTAATGGAGCAGTTACTACTGAGGAAACACGTTCTGTTTGAGACATCTATTAGAACTAAAACACATTTAAATCAAATAAATGGGAGATGAAAAGACCATCCTTTCATACACCTTCTTCTAACCGTTTGACAAATGACAGGTTATTAAAAGGAGTACCAAAATAGGTTTTGGTCTTATATTTCAACTCATATATATATATATATAGACTATAGTGTACGTACTAAGATACATGGCAAAGGTATCTTCTTCTTTTATTTTCTTACATTGACTAATTCGTTGTGTCATAATTGTTTCATTTATTTTACTTTTACATTTTTTTTCAAGATTATCCTTTTTTATACATGGCTAATTTTTTAGAGAATTTCTCTTTATACTTGAGATCCTTCTCTTTTTTGTCTCTCAATAGTACTTTTGGACGTATATGCTGCATTTGGTGAGTGTAAATGATGGGTGAGGACTGAGGAGGAGAGGTAATAAAGAAAATACAATAACAGAGTAAATTCGTAGGTGCAATTATTGATACAATATTTTGATTATTTTAGGAAAGAAGTAATAGTTATTGATTTTAGAGGAATTGAATAATGAAACAAGGGTAAAGAAATGCAAATAAGAGTAGAAATAAAGGATAATCAAAAAATAATATTAAGATAAATACAAAGAAGAATGAGATTACACGAGAAAAGATTATTTAAGTGAAAAATAATATGGGAAAAAAAATACACACAAAGAAGGGTATAATCAAGAAACATAACAAAAAGGAAAATAGAAAATTTCAAAATATCACCAATGCAACAATAATTATTATTTTCATGGTAATGAGAATATGATCAAGCAAAAATATTTTTTTTTTAAAAATTCAAATTCTTAAATTTGTAAAATTACATTTATAACTTGAAATCTTAAGAAAATAATCACGATGAAAGGGTTAAAATTGTACGTCTTTATTACATTAATGAAACTGTGCGAAGCACAGATAAATTCACTAGTTATAAATAAAAATGAAGTCAATCTTAGAAAAGTCTTAAATCTTTTGAAATAGACCCTTCGAATTTGAGGACAAGCAAAATTTATTGATAATTTTTCAAAAAATCCATGTATAATTGTATATATTGAAAGCTCTAATAATCAATTGGCATTTCAGAACCTCGCAAAACGCATACATACACACTGCATTCCAACTTAATGTCCCCTTCGTCCGTTTTACGTGTCTATCATTTAATTTGATATAATATTTTTAAAATTTATAATCTAAAATCATATAATTATAAATTATTTCAGGTAAAAAAAAATAAAGATTAAATTATTTCTAATTATATATTTGATCAAAGAAATCTTTAACCAATCATCAAAAACAAATTGGCAAAAATTTCATCACAATCATTATCAGAAGAAAGGAGTATAGAGTTGTCGTGTATCTTGATGCTCCTCGTTCATCTCTGTCATAACTCACCAAACTCCGACACACCTCCTTACCCTACCCCCACCCCCTCTTCTTGTCTCCTTGAAATAGGGAAAAGCAACTGATCAATCTCCCATTTGTTGCCATGATGACACTATAAACAGGTTCAATCTTGATTCTTTAACTACACCAATTGATTTTACTTTCCTTTGAATTCTATTAGAATCTTAGTATTTTTCAAATAGGTTTTTCTTTTTCTCAACTGGGTTGTGCTCTTTTTCTTCTTTTTTCTCTGAGATAAAAATTGGGTCTTTGATGCTTAGTCTTGGGTATGAGTTAAAAAAATTGGATCTTTGATGCTTTAGTTTTCCAAATTAATTGATTATGACTTAATTGGTTTTTGACAAACTTGATTTGATGGTTATAGTAGCAGATATTTAGTCAAAAGAGAAAAAGGGTGTGTAGATAACAAATTGTGGCCATTGAAGATAAAGGTATAGTCTTTTTGCTCTGTACACTGTTATTGTAGTTAACTTTGTTGTGTTGGAATTATATTTTGTTGGTGATGATCTCAGAGTATCACAGTTTTTGGGAAAACTGATTGTGTATAGAATCTTGATCGTCAAATGGCTGAGGTGATTGGACCTAGATTGTACAGTTGCTGCAATTGTAAGAATGAAGTTGCACTTCATGATGACATTATTTCTAAGGCTTTTCAGGTTAGAATATGTGGGATTCTTTTCATTTTCTTTGAATTGTATGAACGTGGATAGTTTACGACTGGCAAGTAAGCACTCCAACTTTGAGAGTGTACATCTAAACACATCAACTTGGTCTCAATTGACAACTAAATACTCCAAATCGTCCCTATTGTGTCTCGTGGACATCCAACACTGATGTGTCACATGATTTGGAGGTGTCTAGATGATCATTGTGTAAGTTGGAGTGTTCAATTTACATAGTGAAGATGAATTGAGGTGTCTAGATGTGTATACTCAAAGTTGGAGTGTTTACTTGCCATCTGAGGCCAGTGTATGTTTGTTTATGTATTATGTCTTGATTAAACGTATGATCATTCTATGCTGTTTTTGCTTAGAGGTTCCTGGTACAAAAAGGTTATCAGTAGTTCTTGAGTTAGTCACTGCCACAAGTGTTCACAATATCAAAGATAACAGTGTGTTATCAAAGGCGAAACACACAAAAAGATCTAAGGACCATTGGGCTTTAATGAAAAAAAGGTGCAAATAGATTCCATTATGTACGTGTATTCCGAGATAAGGAATATAAGCATGAATATAACACATATATGGACAAAGAAACTGAAAAGAAATCGATAAAGTAACATATCAATGGTTTAGTGTTAGCACTTAGCTCTTCAGGTTTATGCTGACTGATGTGAAGCCCTCTAGATTTTTGCACCTCGCTTCTAAGCTTAAGTGCACTTTTAGCACACCTTTGACAATGTTGCACCTATTTCCATTCTTCTCTTATAGCAAAAGGCAATGATCTCACCATGAATTCAAGAAAATTGGCTCCTCTGCTATTGAAATGAGCATATATATGTTTGTATGTCAGTTACATACCGAAAAGGAAACAAGTTGGAAAGATGTAGCTCAATGAGGAATACATCTTGGTCTTTTCTATATGAGATTTTCTGTTTTTTTTAAAATCTATTTCAGTGCAAGATCTATCCTTTTGTTTACTTAAGATATTACCAGTAATATATTCTTGCCTAATTGACATTAGGGAAGAAATGGTCGAGCATTTTTGTTCTCTCACGCAATGAACATAGTCGTGGGACCAAAAGAGGATAGGCATCTCATGACTGGTCTCCATACAGTTGCTGATGTTCATTGCTGCGACTGTCGTGAGGTGCTTGGCTGGAAATATGAACGAGCATATGAAGAGGCACAGAAGTACAAGGAAGGAAAGTTTGTACTTGAGAAGTCAAAGATCGTCAAGGAAAACTGGTAGTAGTCCACCCTGAATTCTCATCAATTCAAAATGTCGATTCATTGCTCATTGCTGTATAAATTTCTTATGTTTGTTGTCTGATTGGATTGGATATGTTGAACAATCTTGTGAATAATCAATCTCCAAAATCATAATTTGTAAATACCACAACAACAACAATAAACATACCTTAGCCCTACCTTTGTTGGGTAGAAAGGCTGTTTCCGATAGATTATGATATTTGCTTTACTTGGTTTCTGCTATGGAGTACCTGGATTCTTCGTCTTGGATAACACATTCATCTGACAAGTCAGCACTGAATTATTCATCTGCAATCTTGGTTTTGTTCCATGAGAAGCTATCAAGTAATATGATGTATTGTAAATGGGGAAGACACATAGCTGGAGTAATGAGAAGTCCATTGAATTGACCATATGACACGATAAAGATGTTTTATAGTGTCTCTGGAATTGTTGCACCTTTACTCTGATAGATGTAGCAGTTCAAGTTTGGTATGAATTTGTTATTTTGCTTCACTTATTCAAGTTGAGTAATCAAACAATGGTTTCTCCAAACAATATATTTGGCTGTTAAGCTTGATTTTGTCTGGTTGCTTCTTGATGTACAATGAGCAAGTGTGAAGGAACGACGTTAACTTGGTTTATTAGGATCACGTGAACTCATAGGTTACTTTGTAGATCTGTCCCCCGCTACTAAGGTTACTCAGTAATCATCCTCTTGAACCAGCTACTGATCATCGTCTTGGTAATCAGACGCGAGCCCCTTAGCAGTCATTTCCAGTTGTTGTTCTCCTCCCAACGGCAGGTTCTTATGCATTTCTCACTTGTTGGAAAACCGACTTGCATGTGTTAATCATGCTGCCAACATTCAATCCTGAGTCAGGATCGTCGAACTCTCCATCATGACTCCATGAGATTCATAGTTGAATTACTTTGAGATTGTCTTTCACATTTGGCATGAGTTTAAGTTGAACTTGTTCAATCAGATAAACAAAGTGAAAAATGATATTCTGCCACATCATTAAAGAACTCATCTGATTTTGGAAGTCATAACTCAAAATATTACTAACAAAAGGATATTAGTAGAAGTCATCAAATTTGAGTTCAACAAGGGTTTCGTGGTGTAGTTGGTTATCACGTCAGTCTAACACACTGAAGGTCTCCGGTTCGAGTCCGGGCAAAGCCATTCTTTTGCTTGCTTTTTTGCCCATGGTCTTTACATTACATTATAACTATTTGAGTAAGGACATAAAAGCACAACTGAAGTTGTTTCGAATTTTCATAAAGACACCTTAACTTAGAGGGCATCCTATTACCCCACAAAAGTATTGAGTATCTTTGTAAAAGGACCATTTTGACCCATTTTCTCTAATGTGAACAGGCGCGTGGTGCTCACTTTTTTTATTAATTTAATTTAAATTAATTTCTTCAAATCCGACCCGACCCGACCCAAATCGTTTCAAAAAAGAAAACTCTTGTTCTCCATTTTTCATTTCTTAGTTTCTCTCATCATTTTCTTCAATCATAGGCATTGTTGAAGATCATCTCCTACAATTTTGATGTTTGTTGGTCAAATTTCTTGGAGAACTAGCGGAGTAAACAATGAATTGAAGATTAACAGGTTAGAATAGTAACAATAGCAAATCGTTTCAGCTGCAAACTAAAACCCTCATCAGCATGTATATCGGAAAAGCTGCTTGTGGTTTCAATGGCGAAGAATAATTCGTTGAAATCGATTGTAGTGGTATTTGGAGCCATGTTTTTTGAGTGGCTGGCGATTGGGTTTGTTTTCAAACCATGGATTGATAAAACCCGAGCTTCAATGGCCAAGTCTCGGAAACATCTTGCGACCTCGCCGCCGATCAAAGTTCAGAAGCTGGCAAGCCTCAGGTCTATGTTGATCCTCCCGAAAAAACAACTGATTTGAGAGTTTGGTTTGATTTTTGGGTTCTCAGAACTAAATAAAATTAAGAAGAAACGAAACCTCGGACAACTTTAAATTAGCTTTTTCAATTGGAAATTAAAACGAACTCCTACCTTATTGAGTTGATTTCATCAGTTCATCATAGAGTACCTATGACTCTTTTGTTGGGGAAGATGATGAATTTGAATGGAGTAAATAATTAATAAAGAAAATAACTTAAATGTGGCAGCTTTTAATTGGTTTTTGGCATTAAAAACGGACCTTCACGCGCATCATGTGCGTGTTCACAAACATAATGAGAAAATGGGTCAAAATGGTCCTTTTACAAAAATATTCAATACTTGTGTGGGGTGATAGGACATCCTCAAAGTTAAGGTGTCTTTTTGAAAATTCGAAACAACTTCAGTTGTGCTTTTATGTCTTTTCTCTAACTATTTATCTCTCCTCCTTTTTTTTGTCATCTTTGCATAGTATATAAGACAGATTAAGCAATTGGTTTAATGCTTCTATAATGTTGAAACACCTAGTTAGTAAAGGCATGAAGAAATTGACAAGCAGACATTACTGTTGGCACTGCCTTCTTGACCCAAAAATACAGGAAAAACAAGCTTCTTTACAATTGTGTACTGAATGTGCTACCACAAGTATAATCCCATTCGCTTATTTATTTGTTGTCACAGAAACAATAGAACAGTATAGGGAGCAATTTTTCTATTGAATTCTATTGCTAACTACTCTGATGAGTTACAAACATTATAGCAGGAAAATTTTCTAGAGCATGACTTCTAAAGTTCTCATGAGCTCAACTCGATAAAAAGGCTGGCCTGAGGATGTAATCCGGCATCTTTCAGGGACAAACTGAGCTTCTCTGCGCCATATACAGTGCGAGGGAAGTTGGATACAAGACTGTAGTTGTCAACCGCTAAGCATCCTAGAGAATCGACATAGTCATACAACGACTGTAATGTTGTAGTACAATGAAATCTCCTCTCCTTGCGTTCTCCAGTAGGAAACCGTACCAAAACCTGAATGATCCAAATTAAACAACAAATTAATTAAGACAACAGTATGAACACCTTTCTGTTCACTGAGGGATTCAGTTTCAGTTTTGCACTTTGTCCCCCCTCCCTCCCTCGAGATATATGCATTTAACATGAACTTTCTGCTCAACCTTAAGCCAGTTCTACATACTTTCCAACCTTAAGCACTATAATCTTTTCTATTCAAAATCTTTGCAAATCAAATCACTCAACACCTGAAATCAACGAGACTCCATAGAAAACACTCTAGCTCCATGAATCTGTTCTTTGGAGCTAGAACATCCAATAGAATGAAACGAAATATTGGTAAGCAACAGCGGAGCATCAAGAAATAAGATCAGGCTAGAGCAGTTATGTTTCAATCTTACCGGAAAACCATGTCTTTCACCAAAATTTGTGAAAAAAAGGCAGCCCGGTGCACAAAGCATCCTGCTTAAGCAAGGTACGGGAAAGGGTCGCACCCCAAGGGGTGTAATATAGACAACCTACCCTAATGCAAACATTAGTGGCTGCTTCCACGGCTCAAACCCATGACCTATAGGTCAAATAGATACAGCTTTACTAATGCTGCAAGGATCCCCTTCTTCACCAAAATCTGTAATAATGATTATTTTTTTGGTACAATGAAAACCAAGAGAAACATGATTACCTGGGTAACATCAGGACCCTTCTCAGGTTCAGGGCCCAATGACAATAGTTTCTCCTGGCGTATTTTAACTAATGCAGCTTCTCTTTCAGCAGCTTCATGTGCTGCTCTTTCCCGGGCCTCTTCTTCCTCCTTTCTTTTCCTTTCAGCTTCAGCAGCTTCCCTCTCCAGCCTCTCTTGCTCTTCTATCCTCTGGCGCTCTCTAGCCTAGTTAAGGGCAAACAGTTGATCAATGTAAAGCTTTTTCCCCTTCACAAAGTAACTTGAAGAGAGGAAAGGCATATTTGGAACCTAAAAGCACTTACTTGATCAGCTTCTAGTGCAGCACGATAAGCAGCATCTTGCTCCTCCCTCAAACATATATTGTTTCTTCTTTCTTCTGCCTCAACCCTGGCTGTGACAAGCACAGGGGCACTTTCCTCGATCACTCTTTGCAGTACTGTAAGCATTTCTTCGGGAGATTTTGGCCCTTCCGCCTACAGAGTGTTGTTCACCAAAATAAGTACACAAGTTAACGGGCTAGTAGAAGATTCAATGAAGCAAGTTCATTTTTCTACACACAAATCATTGAGACAAGTGTGCTTCCTTCAGAAAATAGTAGTACCAACTATAGTATGACAGATCTAGGTTGCCCTTTTCTTTTTGTGTGGGACTCTTTACCTTTTTGTGTGTGACTCTTATGTGGCAAATATAGCATCAATTGGTTTTTAACACATCAGGCCACAAGCCTAATAGCATTCTGTAGCTAGCTAGCAAAAGGGCAAAAAGTGGAACAAACACAAAACAAGGAAGCATATGCACTCGCACATAGAATAGATTAGTGAAATACACACAAACATGAGTCAACAGTTACAAAGTGCTAAATCATGTAATCTTTTTCGAAGTAACAGTGAAAGGGGAGAGGCAGAAAAGATAACCCCCCCCCCCCCTTTTTAGCATCGTGAACTCTTTCCAATTGACAGAGAACAAGGCAGCCAGCCATTCAATCCCAAGAAAACAATTATATTCCAGACTAGAACATTCACTTGCTTACACAGGATTATAATACTCAACCTACAGAAAAAAGGAACACAAACATGCTTAAGGGCATGAATGAAAAACAGCTAATAACATGAGAATATACATTTTGCTCAATGAACTTGTACAGAAAATCCATCAATGAGGAATCTTAGAGCAGTAGCATAATCTTTGGTCTGTCTATTACTCCCTCCGTCCCATTTTATATGAGGTACTTTGACTCGGCACGGAGTTTAAGAAAGAAAGGAAGACTTTTAAAACTTGTGGTCCAAAATGAATGATAGAAATTTGTGTGGCTGTAAATCATTTCATTAAGGGTAAAATAGATATTTTATAGTTAGATTGTTACCTTATATAGAAATGTGTCATTCTTTTTGGAACTGACTAAAAAGGAAAGTGAGTCATATAAATTGGGACAGAGGGAGTATTATTTACCATAATGGGCAGACTCCTTTTCATAGGCTATACACAACAAAACAGCAAACATCA